GGGGACCGGTGCAGCTGCAGTGGCGCCCGGGGGGAGGGGGCTAAGGGGGGGGGAGGGGCCCCCCCCGGGGCTGGTGCAGTTGCCGGGAGGCCCTGGGGGCCCTTGTGCAGTGGCGTCGGGGAAGCGGTAGCAACCACCCTCCCCGCCCCCCCACCCCCGGCTGCTTCTTACGACTTTTCTTTTGTTGTTGCCTTGACCCGGGTCTGTTTTCTCGTTTGTTGTTTGAGGTGTTTTACTGCTGCACCGGCTCTACGCTCTCCACCTCTTTCTCTGTGGTTTAACCTTCCTCTTTCCCCAGTGTGTTTTATGCACGGAGAACTACGTTGAGATTTTGCATTTCTTCCCCTCCGCACTCCGCACCCCCTCCTCTTTGAAAAACAAAAACCCAACCTCACAAAACCTCTAAGGACCGCGGTAGCGAGACGTAGAGGGGTTGATTTGTGGAGTAGGAGTCGCTGGCCCATTGCGGTGCTTGGGACTCATTAAACTGTCACTCACCCCCCACCCCACTGGGTAAATGGGGTGATTAATGTCTGATATATTGGATTGGGGCGAGGGCGTTTGTGGAGAATAGGTTGTGTGGCTGAGAAGGAATTTGTCTCTAAAGAGTGCCTCCTGAAATAGGCATTCAGAATTATGTCACTCACCGCGAAGTTAGAGAAAGTTAGGTTTGTGACTTTGGGGGAACGAGAAGGACAGAGTCGTTGGTTTTAGTTACTCTGTAACTCTTTGCCACAGTTTTCTAATGAGAACGGAGTGATTATCAGCGAGACTGGGACACTTGTGCCTCAGGCCCTAGCCAGCCCTTTTTCTTCTCCTCACCCTTCTCCGAGTGTGGAGATGTATTTGACATTCACAGATGTCCCTCCTGCCCGGGTTGCGTTACAATTTCATGACCCATTCGAAAAGGCCCACAAAGTCTAGCGAAAGTTTCCCAAACTTGCTAGACCTGGCTTTTTTTTTTTTTCCCCCTCTTTTGAAAGATTTTCTTGTGATCATGAACATTACAGAGTGACCCAAAAAAAGATTGTTATGGGACATAGATCAAGGGGAAGACAAGGTTCTGCTTTTTCTGAGCAGATAGATCAGATAGGCAGGTACAACATTTGTTTTCAGTGACGCTGGCAGGCTGTATCAGTTTATTAACTTGTCTCGTTGGACCGAAGCACTTTCCAGGATTTCAGAAAGTACAGTTTCAGCTTGTTGATACTGAGAATTGAAATTTGCATTAACTGTGGCTGTGTGAGAAATTTTACTGAGAAGGTAGTTGTGGATAAGTAGTTCAATAAGAGTGAAATAAGAAGGTGAACTAGGTTGAAGTCATAATTCTAAATAAGTCTTCCAACATTTCTGAGACATCCCATTATCAGCAGGAAAAAAAAAATGAAAGTGCCATAATAATGTTGAAATGGGGCTGGCAATGTCAAGTGGTTTGGTTTAAAAATATTCCAGAACTGCCTTTAGAAGTAAAGGTTGGCGTTGAATAAAAGTGAATACTGGATTTCTTGAATAGCACGGTGGTTTGAGTGTGCTTGTCAGTATATAAGGCAGTCCACCAACTGAAGACAGAAGTGTTGCTATTCCATAAATACAGTAGAACTTCATATGCTGAGTTTTTTCAATTTCCTCTGTTAGAAAGTTTGGACAAAAAAGGGAGACTTTGAAGTATTTTGTTTATACTAACAGAAAAGTTCCCCTAAGAAAAAGCTGGTGGCAGGAGTGTAGAGGAGTAGCATATGGCATTAAAAGGAGCACAGCTGGAGGTAGCATTTCCATCTGAACATGATGTCAGAGCAGCTGACAGCCTGCCATCCCTCAGCCTTTTATTCTAACACACAGACAGGGAGTTAGTGTGTGCGGATCTGTGGTGGAGAAGGTATCTCATTCCTCTCTAACATCATCTCCACTTTGCATCTGTCTCTCTTAGTCTGCTTTTTTCCCACCGATGTAACAGACCTGGAGCCAGCAAGACTCAGAGGAAAGGACTTAATCAGGTTTATGTGTCCTAAAGGTAGGAGTAGCAATAGATTAGACTGAGCATATTTCTGTTTTGGTGTTTTGTTTATTTAATTAAAAAAAATCACATTCCTTTTCTAACCCAGTTTAGAAGTAATATATGAAATTGAGTATTAAATGAACATCTTACTGGAGTTGAAAGGCTTGGGCTTGTTTAGTTTTAATTTTTATCCCTTTTACTTGAGTGAGTAACTTTAATACACAGAAATATTTCAAGTTTTGAAATGTTAAGAAAGACTTTGAAATACTGCTTTTTGAGATCACTTTGGATTAAAATGCTTTTTTTTCCTCCCCCCCCCCACTGCTATTTAGATTCCTTTTGCTTTTAGGGGGAGAAATAGTAAACTGTCTGGAATCAAGCATTCAAACTTCTATGAGAAGATTATTGTAGTTAAGAAGCTAGATTGTTGTGTAATTAATTCCACTGTGAAACTTTATTCTTCAAAACATACAGCAGCACTGCTGAAACATACAGCTGTAGTGCTTTTGAAACCGAAGGTTTTTTTTTAAAGGGGGGGGGGACTTTTGTCCCCAGGAGAATAGTTTGACTGGTTTCCTCATTTCTCTTTCAAATATATATTTAAGAGATCTTTTATTTCAGCATAACAATAATTATTTGCAGGAGTTTTTGTGTTAGTGACTAATTTAGAACTTGCAGATTTGAGCTGCCTGAATTGGCCAGACAGCTGTAATCGCACTCTTCTATTCTTAATCTCTTTATCTGGGCAGCAGCTGCCATATGGCCACAGTCAGCTGGATCAGATGTTTATAAGCTTCCTTCTTCATCCCTCTCTGTCCTCTCAGCCTCCTAATTTGATCACGGCTACCTTGTGAGCTGCCCTACAATCTTTATTTTTAGCCCTCTCAAGGATTAGGATTGATGTTAGCTGTGGGGCACTTAAAGTGATTGTATTGTAAATCTTGGTTTATGCTAGCAGTGGCATCTTGCAGAATGGAATTGGGGTTAGAATGAAAGTTTTAGTCTATCTTGGGTAAAGTGTAGAAGAGGAAGAGTAGTGATTTCTGAACATTAGATTTAATATATATCTATTCTCAAAATGCACTTTCTGAGGTGGATGGTGTGGAGTTTTGCTTCTGGTCACAGGAAAGGGAAGTTGGGTTTTCTTTATTTTTAAGGAGTTTACCCATTGCAGTTGAATATTGACCCTTTGTACATCTTTGCCTTTCCTCTGCCTCGAATTCACCCTCCCTCACCAGAAAACCAGGGCAACAATGCCTATTTGAAAGAATAGAAGCTAGTGGGAAAACAAAATATATCAAGTTATGTTGAAACATAGTATTTTCTGTTGATTGAGTTAAAGATTCAAAAAAAAAAAAAATAAAGTTTCTCTTTTTCTAGAAAGGCTTTTTTTTGGGAGGGGTGGTATTGAACCTGTAAGCTTTTGAGTTTCATTTGAAAGTGGTATGTCTGTATTTAAAGTTCGAATTAATTTTAATAGGGAATTCATCTTGCTTTGCAACGGATCAAAGTTAAGATGAGAATTTTCAATGAAGTAAAGCCCCTCTGGTGCCTGAGATTCTAGAAGGACAGAGTCTACAAAGCAATATAACCGTTTTTCCCCCTCAATTCATTTTAAAAAAAGCTTTGGATTTGTTCATAGTAAAGATGATCTTTTCCATCTGTTGGTGTCGTTCCTTCTGATCTTGTACATGTGTGCTGTACCTGCAAATCTTAAGGCATTAACATCTGTTTTTATACACAAGGCTTTTGTTGTTGTAACACTCGGACTTTCAAAGTAAGTTGTTTGCTAATTTCTGCACTAATTATGCAATTGCATTTTTTTCTGGATTCAGCCAAATGTGTGTGTGTTTAAATTGTGCTTTCTGAGTGCAGTCAAGTCTCAAAAGTAATAAAATAAAAAGGGTGACTGAACAAGTTTTCTTAATCTTCCAGAATGTGTTCAGGACTTGCCTTTGTTCATCCTATGGGCTGTTCCCTTTGAAACAGCAGCTATTTTGTAGGTTTTGTAGGACATAATTTGATGAGTAGAATTAATTAAATTTCTCCTGAAAGAGATCTCAATTCTTACTCAGTGAAAGGCTGTAGTTAAATTGAGGCTTTGAAAACTTGTCGAAAAGTTCACGGAAGGTCGAGCTGCATCTGAGACCGTTTTCCTGGGGTAAGGAAGTTTGGAAAGTATAAATTTTCCTCTCGAGTTTAGGTTTTGTGCGTGTGATTTGGTTGTCCTTGGGTCATAAGCCTGATTAAAATTCAGGAACGTGTACCACAGCGGCCAAAGCTTCAGTATTTATTTATTTATTTTTTTATAGGGGGACTAGAGCATTTAAAAGTTGTTCTTGACCAAGCGCTAATGAGCAATCTCTCTCTTCCTAGGTTATGAAGACAGTATGGAGTTTCCAGACCACAGTAGACATTTGCTGCAGTGTTTGAGCGAGCAGAGACATCAGGGCTTTCTCTGTGACTGCACTGTTCTGGTGGGAGATGCCCAGTTCCGAGCGCACCGAGCTGTACTGGCTTCATGCAGCATGTATTTCCACCTCTTTTACAAGGACCAGCTGGACAAAAGAGACATTGTTCATCTGAACAGCGACATTGTTACAGCCCCAGCTTTCGCTCTCCTGCTGGAATTCATGTATGAAGGGAAACTCCAGTTCAAAGACTTGCCCATTGAAGACGTGCTAGCAGCTGCCAGTTATCTCCACATGTATGACATTGTCAAAGTCTGCAAAAAGAAGCTGAAAGAGAAAGCCACCACAGAGGCAGACAGCACAAAAAAGGAGGAAGATGCCTCAAGTTGTTCAGACAAAGTCGAGAGTCTCTCAGATGGCAGCAGCCACATGGCAGGCGATTTGCCCAGTGATGAAGATGAAGGAGAAGATGAAAAATTGAACATCCTGCCCAGCAAAAGGGACTTGGCGGCTGAGCCCGGGAACATGTGGATGCGATTGCCCTCAGACTCAGCAGGCATCCCCCAGGCTGGCGGAGAGGCTGAGCCCCACGCCACAGCAGCTGGGAAAACAGTAGCCAGCCCCTGCAGCTCAACAGAGTCTTTGTCCCAGAGGTCTGTCACCTCCGTGAGGGATTCAGCAGATGTTGACTGTGTGCTGGACCTGTCTGTCAAGTCCAGCCTTTCAGGAGTTGAAAATCTGAACAGCTCTTATTTCTCTTCACAGGACGTGCTGAGAAGCAACCTGGTGCAGGTGAAGGTGGAGAAAGAGGCTTCCTGTGATGAGAGTGATGTTGGCACTAATGACTATGACATGGAACATAGCACTGTGAAAGGAAGTGTGAGCACTAATAACAGGGTACAGTATGAGCCGGCCCATCTGGCTTCCATGAGGGAGGACTCGGTCTTGAGGGAGCTAGATCGGGAGGACAAAGCGAGCGATGATGAGATGATGACCCCAGAGAACGAGCGAGTCCAGGTGGAAGGGAACATGGACAGTAGTTTGCTTCCTTATGTCTCAAACATACTGAGCCCTGCTGGCCAGATCTTCATGTGCCCTCTTTGCAACAAAGTCTTCCCCAGCCCCCACATCCTGCAGATCCACCTCAGCACGCACTTCCGCGAGCAGGACGGCATCCGCAGCAAGCCTGCGGCCGATGTCAACGTCCCGACGTGCTCCCTGTGTGGTAAGACTTTCTCTTGCATGTATACCCTGAAGCGCCACGAGAGGACTCACTCGGGGGAGAAGCCCTACACTTGCACCCAGTGTGGCAAGAGCTTCCAGTACTCCCACAACCTGAGCCGCCACGCCGTGGTGCACACTCGCGAGAAGCCGCACGCCTGCAAGTGGTGTGAGCGCAGGTTCACACAGTCTGGAGACCTGTACAGACACATTCGGAAGTTCCACTGTGAGTTGGTGAACTCCTTGTCTGTTAAAAGCGAAGCACTGAGCTTACCTACTGTCAGAGACTGGACCTTAGAAGATAGCTCTCAAGAACTTTGGAAATAATTTTATATATATATATATATATATATATATATATATAAATAATATATATACATATATATAAATAGATCTATATATAGTCGTGGTACGGTCTAAAAGCAGTCTTGTTTCCTTGAACTAAAAAGTTGGGATATTAACTTGTTTTTGCACTTTAGAATAGCATGAGACTCTCACTAATTTAGCATTCTGATAAAAGAAACTTTAGCGCAAGTCAGAAAATAGAGAGGTGTTTTTCTTTTGTGGGGGTAGGGGAGGTAAGCCAGTAAGAACCTTGTAAACAAATCGTTGTATCACAAAATGCTTTACTATGGCTTAATTTTGTCAACACTGCATTGTCTTTTGAAATCTTTTCTCCCCCCCTCCACAGTTTTTTTCTTTTTTTTTTTTTTTTAAAGTAGAAATTCCCTCCAGTTTTATTAGCCTCTTTATATGTCTCAAATTGCATGAAATCTTTTCTGGCTGTTGGAAACCTGAATGCTTTTAGACCCAAATGGAAAATTTCTGAAATGCTGGATTATCTATTTTTAAACAAGCAGTTGACTTAAAACTTTCTGTGGCAACTTCTGGTTTTCTGACGGTCCCAATGAGAGAAATTCTGACAGTACACTGGGATCACTGGGACCTGTCTTTGTGAAGGTTTGCTTGGGATGAAAAAGGATATTGCAGCTTCAGCAGTGTTGAACTGTGTGTTTAAAAATGTGAATTACTGTTATTGTATACTGTAATTGATTACATGGGCTGGGGGGGGTGTCAAAGAACTTGACAGGTTGTGTTGATGCTCTTAGTTGAGTCTTGAAAAGTAAATATTAACGCTACAGAAATGCATGAGTTTCAGTATATTTTTGTCTTTGTTTGCATTGTATAACTTTAACGAGTGAGTTTAAAATTATTTAATTTCCTTAGAGAAATAGCACCATTTGGAAACTGGTGTTATGAAGAACATAAATGCACTGTTTTTATTTTATTTTATATAATTTAAATTGACTTTCCCACTGTCTTTTAAGTTGAAACTGTTAAGCTGAAAACTTAAGCTGCAAATTGGTAACTTCGCTACATAACAAGGAAAATATAAATGTTTACAAACGGCTTAAAGATTTGCATGTGCGGTGTGCATTTATAACAAACTCCTGATTGCACAAAACCCATGCCAGCTCAAAGTTTAGGTGTACACATTTACCCCGTTGAGCATTTTTAGAATAACTACTGCACAAATTGACAATAGGTCATTCTTTTTGTTGTTGTTGTTGCTCCCCTTTTCTTTTTCTCCCCTTCTTCCTTCCCCTCCCTCATCCCCCTCCACCACCCGCCCCCCCCACTCATGAAAAGATTCTATGGACTGAAAAAGCCCCAGGCGGAAAGGACTGGACTGCCTTGATTGACATGGGGAAGGGGGTTAGTAGACTATGTGTATCGCGGCAGCAGAGGCTGCAGCCCGACGTGTGGTTTGATGACCAGCACGCAGGGCAAAAGCATTTTGCACAGTGTTTGTTTTCCTGTCTTGCACTTACAAATAAGGTCTATGGAGTAGCATGGAAAACGTTTGCTGTTTTTCCCCTTTTTTTTTTTTTAATTGCTTTTGTTTAAAATTTGATCGCCTTAACTACTGTAAACATAGCCTATTTTTGTGCTTAAGATACTGAATGGAAAACTCCATTGTGTGTTGCTGGACTGTTTTGGAAATATTTGGTCAAATGTGTGTTAATTTGGCTGTAATGGCATTTAAAGCAAACAAACAAACAAAAAAAGCTGTGAAAATGGCCTTGGAGCATTATCTTTAGTTACTTGAAGAGTTTCTAGTTTTTTTTAAAATACAGTTTATGTTAAGATAATTTTTATTAATTTAGAGAAGACAATCAATGTCTGTGAGAAAACGGACTTTCTTTTGGATTTTCTTTTTGTGGTCGTTGTGAGTGATTGCTTTTTCCTCTTATTAGTTTCACATTCTTCCTTTGTTTTAAAAACTTAGACTGACATCTAGCTTTGACAATCATAGTATGTTTTATTTTCCTGAGGGGGGAATAACTTATAATGCTGTTTAGTTTTGTACTATTGGTGTGTTGGTGAATTTTTAAACTGTGTGCTAACTGCAATAAATTATATGAACTGAGAATCTTGTGTGTATTCTTTGAATTGTGATAAGGTATTACATAGATTCTAAACCTGTATCGCACACGGCCTCTTTATTTTAGTATCAATTCTATTCAGTTTATGCAGTTATTAGAATGCACTCAAATGGAAATGCACAAACATTTTTGCATCAAGCCATTTAAGAAGATACTAAATGCACGTTTTAAAAATGACCCATTTTCTAGAATCTACATCAAGAATGTTGAGGTAATTCCCTAGAAACGTATGAATCCACAAAACTTCAAGTGGCAACATAGGTTTTTCATAGTATGCTTCACAAGTACTAATCTGTACACTACAAGTCACTTTCCATGTGTAATTTTATCCTAAGTTGATTGGTCAAATCTATTCTGTGTTCTGGTTTAAGTGGAAAATTGAAGGAGACCGGATGTCTTAATTTGGAAGACTGCTTGGCTAATGACTGGAATTCTAGGCAATCGAGTTAGCAGGCATTCAGATTGTAAGAGATTAGTTTTATGCATCCTTTCTGCTGCTGGGAGAATGCAAAAGGTTCCAGGTTTTAATTCTCAAGTTTTAATTTAAAAATATTAAACGTAGGCAACCGTTAAAAGGAATCCATTCCCGAATTTTTGTGATAGTCCTAACATCATGTTGCTCTAGTTGAGCTTGCCAGGGTGAGAAACAGTGCTTATTGACCTAGGAAATTGACTGGAACACCCCACACTTGCTGGAGGGTACTGTGGAAGAATTATCACATACGGTCCCAAGAGTAGGCAGTGACAGGGTCGGACCTAGGAGATTCTCGTAATCCTGATAATCTGTAATTGTCCATAACTTCCAACCTCCAAGACACAGAAATAGTTTTACATTACTGCTGTCAAAAATGAAATCTACAGTTGTATTAAATGTTCTTTAGAAAGGTTAATATTCTTCTATAGAAGAAGTAGAATATAAGGTCTGGAGCTTGAAAATGCACCATGCATACCATCCCTGATGGCTTTGGATGGGAATCCAAAAAAGATTTTATCACAAAGCACAGTCAATAATTTACAATTTGGAATCCTCCATTTCTTTTTTTGTTGTTGTTGAAACAGAATTTCTCTTACATGCAACTCACTTGGTTTTAATCAACTGGACATTGTTTCACACGAAAGGGGTATGTACGTTTGACCTTCACAAAATTTCTCGAGCAGTTAAACGCTTAAAAAAAAAAAAAGATGGGAGGGAGGGCTTTGTATTTTCTATTTTCGTTCCCGTAGTAATTGGTGAAAGCATCTCAAAGCTTCCTGAATATGTTGAGAGTTCACTTTATATTTTAGTTTACTAACCCCACTCCGTAGGTCCATTCTGATCATAGCAACCCTATAGGACAGAGTAGAACTGCCCCATAGGGTTTCCAAGGCTGTAAATCTTTACAGAAGCAAACCGCCACATCTTTCTCCCACAGAGTGGCTGGTGGGTTTGAACCATCGACCTTTTGGTTCGTAGCCGAGTGTTTTAACCACTGTGCCACCAGGGCTCCTCATTTACTGACTGGCATCTAATAATTGCGGAGCATTACCTTAACGAGCTTAACTGGATATAGTTAAAAAACAATATTTTGACACGTAATTTAGAAGACATTATATTTCTTAAAACATTCTTTGCAAAAAACTCTGGATATTAATTACACAAATTGCCACATTTGATAAGTGGACTGAAGGAATTAGTTGCTCACTACATTAAAATTATCTAATTAATTTGTCATGTAGTCATGTTGGAAACCATTCAAACTGATCCCCCCTTTGACATCTGGCTGATACATAAGTATATTTTAAATATGTGGTTTCATTTACTTTTGAAAACATCTGTTCTTTTAGATAATCAGTTATGCCCTGAATCATCCATGTGGGCCAGCATCATGTGCTAGGTGTACCCTAGGGAATATCCAAGAAGTATAAGACATTAAGGATACTGGTTTTGGATTTCCTTTCTAGTTAATTATGCTATCAGATGAATAGGTGGATCAAGTAGAGTTTTTCTTCAACAGACTTGTCGTGAACATCTACAAACAGGTTATTGGAAGATTAGAAAAAAGTGAACACTATATTAAAAATACAACAGCTCACATTAAAATGAAATACTCTTTTTCCAAGTAAATCTTTTGTACTACTAGCAAAGAAATAGTTTTTTTTTTTGACCCAAGAAGTAACACTACTTACAAAGTCGTGATCTTCCAAGTTTTATTGATAAAAAACACATAAGCTATTAAAAAGAAAACTTGACTTAAAAAAAAAAAACCCATTGTATCAGATAAGAATTTTTTTTTAAGTCTTAAGATCCCAAAATTTCTTGTATTGCATGACTACATTTTATTGCTATAAAGCTTAAAACATTCTTTGGTTTCCAATATAAGAATTGTTGGAAGCTTTTACAAACATTGGATGGTAGGAACCTCTGATAATTTGATTTTAATTCGTAGATATTGATCTAAATTTTTGTTGGAATTGTTGGTTGCAATGTTTGAAATTGTTGATAACGTGCGGTCAACTGAGCAAGTGTGAATTTTGGAATCCAGGACAGAAGAGCTCAGTCCTTTTCATTAAAGTCATTTGCCATTAAAATGCTAGAGATAATACCATCTTTAAGAATAAAGCAATAGCTTTTTTTTTTTTTTTTAAGCAAATAGCATTTAGGAGTTTCGTTTGGCTATAGTCCAAGTTTATTACACTCACAAGATTTTGTCCCTCATTTTAAAATTATTCTAGCTTTTGCCTACAGAAACACAGCAAAATACCTTTGTATGCAACAGTCTGGTCTAAAATGTAGAACCACTTACCTTTTGACTTCAAATCAGTTACATAAAAGGAAATGCTTTACGTTTATAATGCCCTCCACCCCCAATTCCCACTTACATTTTCTTAATATCATAAAAGGATAGTTAAAATAGTCTGATCTTCCGGCTGACACTGTAAGTGTTCAGAAATATTAATTCATTTTCAGAGACATTTTATAAATAAAACTGTTAATATTTTTGCGAACCAACCCCTTAAAAAAATCTTAAATTAATTAACTTTGTAAATTTGTGAAAGAATCTTTATGTGAAGATGTAGTTGAACTCCACATTTAAAACATCGTAGCAAGGGAAGGTGAGGTCACAGAAATGTATTTGTTAATTGAGTGGAAGTCCTGATAAACAGGGGCTTGAAAAGATCTTTTTTAAACCCAAATACTTTATAATGTATCTGCTTCCACTAAAATTATTGAATCAATTATCCAGATAATTCCGACTCATAGAATAGCTTTTTTCCTAAAATATTTCAGCAACTGAAAAAAATCTGAATGTTCTTTATTCTAACATTGACAAATTTACTCTTGATCATAATCTCTAGGTTTATGTAAGCATGGTACCTTCCTTTGGCTGAAGAGTAGTTTGCCAAAAAATGCTTTTAAAATGAACTTTTTTTTCCTTGAATTTTGAGTACTTATCCCCAAGTAAGGTGTCTCCTTTTCTAATCTACGTGAATCCCTTTGCAGTTGAGCTTGCATTTTGCTATAGGAGGCATTCTCTCTAGCTTGGCAGGAGAGGAGCAAAAGCCCAATTTGGCTTTAAAACATAGCACATTAGTCAGTAACAGTTTCAGTGAGGATATTTAGAGTGGCTTTGAGAGGCCGTGTGGCACCCATAGAGAATCCATTGACGGAAATTACTTATTTACAGTTTGTTATAATCTCTGTAGTTAATCATTAAGTCAAGTAGTTTTTATTAAATGTCAGTATGCATGCCTAGTATGACCATAGGAATTTTAAACAGTCATATTGGTCCAAATATTCAAGTTTGCAAAAAAGTTGATTTGTACTTAATATGAAATGGTACATAAAAGTGTATCTGAAAATTGGTAAACATTTACAGGATAGATTAAATCTGTTGTTCCAAGACATAATGCATATACGAAGATACTGAACTTCAAAGACTAGTATAACCATATCTACGTGTCCTATGCCAAGCCCGAACCAACTTTTGGTATGTGATGGAGCTTAAAAGTCTGTATCTTAACTATGTATGATTGAAAAATATGTATTATTTAAAACTATTTATAAATAAGGACATGGTCACTTCACTTCGAAAAATCCCACTGAATGTTGTATATATTTTACCTTCAGCAGGATGACTAAGGACACTAACATTTTTGCATGTCTGATGCTCTAAGATGATCTTTGATCAGAGTAACAGCATTTAGGATTTTTCTCTGAAATCTCTTAAAGTTCTTTTTTAGAACAGACTCTCTCTATATATATATGTATCTTTTCTATGGAACATTTCTTTGGAACTGTATCATATGAATTATCTGGCTGGTACTGTCTCAATGCCTATTGCATGTTTACCAGACAGACAGCAATGCCTCCTATTTGGACAATTTTTGGAAAGGCATAATGGTACAATAACAGATCATTACAACATTTAAGAAAAATATTTATTATTGCCTGTGTACCACAGAGACCATAGAGGTTACTGCCACTTACTTGTATTTAGTGTAAAATACAATCCATTTCTCCTAATTCGTGACTGTCCCTCTGTCACTTCAAATCTTCATCAAGGAGAGGAAATTTAAGCATAGAGCCATATCCCCCCAAAATCTAATTTATAAGTTATCTCTGTAATAACCGGCTGTGAGAGAGAGGGTCTTTTAAGCAGGAGAGAGGAAGAGAAAAGGTACAGGTTTCTAGCTGAAGCATAGACATCATACACGAACCCTCAGTGTACAAGTTGTTCAAGATCACTTCTAAAACCCTAAGATTTTGCAACTGAATAAATAAACCGAAAGAAACTGAAGTCTTGCAGATGGAATATTCCTTGAGGTTCTTATTTTTGTTGAGACTCAAACTAAAATTCAGATTTTATAGTCTGTTCTCTATTTTTCTCACTGCCCTTTTATTTACTATATAGGAGGATACATCTTATGCATTGAGTGATTTTGGCACCATGGCACAACTAAATTTTCCAGTCAAGTTGTTTTTGTGTCTGACTCTCTACCATTTGAAAAAATTGAAACAAATTTGAAATGAAAACTACTTTTGAGATTGGCCCTACTTAGCACTGTGCACCAGCAAACTGCATCTCCACTAAGGCAGGCCTGAGGATGCAGGGGAAGGAGCCGAGCCAGTTCAGAGGGCTCGTTACAATAAACCACACTGACGGGGTGACACCCTTAGCTTACAAGAAAAGAGAAAGTTAGGGGCTATGTTGGGGCACAGTGAAGTTTTACTTTTCATAGTAAGTGTGAAGTCTAGAAAATGTGGTGATTTCTCACATTCTATTTATAAGTTATTTTACTTGAGGGATGCCTCAAAGCAGTACTAGAATTACTTATGCGCAAAAGGAGGAGGAAAGAGGGGTTTGTCATCATTTATTCAATTTGCCTTGTAAAGGTGCTTATCTTGCAGTAAAAATAATACTTTAGTCAAAATACAACAGGCGGTTTGTAGGCTTGACCAGCATGGAAGGATTTTAAACGACTGAAGTGTTTTCTGTTTAAAAGTCAGTCAACGCCCTCGATGAATGAGGCACTCAACCCTCATAACGTTCTTCTTCTTTAGTAAGATGTATATAATTTCTCTCTCCTAAAATAACATAACTTTCCAGCCTTATAAACAAAAATAATTCCAAGCTTACACTTGATCTTGAATTTAAAAAAAAAAAAATTTGCATTCTGGTCAAGTTGTGTTTGAAATAAGGAGCTAATTTTGTTATTCAAATGGCAAAAATCTAATGGCCAGAATGGCCCAATTATTCCCCATTATTTGAAGACCTATGGTGTGTGTCTGATATTCTCTCCTCACAGATTGCTATGTCATATGTTCTTCCACAGAGAGTAATCTGAAATGACAAAATCCTAGAGCTGGAAGGGGCAAAAGTGCCTTCCAGTTGACTCATCCTAAGCCATTAAAGGTAGAAGAGCAGGCACCGGGCTGCCCGTGGACTGTGCCATTTATGGGGGAGAAGGGGCAAGCATTTCATTCATTCCCTGAATCTATGGGACCTATCCTTTTAGATAGGAGGTTTTCCTCTCTTTAGGGGCACACCAAGGTTGAATTCCTCACTCAGGGCACATCTTTGATCAAGTCTGAATCAGAAACCAAAGTTCTGGTTATGCCTAAGTGATCAAATTTGCATTATGAGGATATATATTTACCATGATTACATTTCACGTTGTCTGCTATGATTTACAAAGTGAGTCTAAGATCGGAATTTGGAAGCAGTGGCATTATATTGTTTATTTTCCTGGTTTTAATACTATCAACTATTTATATATATATATATATATACATACACATATATATATATGTATGTATGTATGTATGTATAGAAGAACATGCTTTCCTGGTGTCAGAGAAGGACAATTTTTGGCGCCTCTAACACATGGGGTTGCCATGAGTCAGAACCTACATGAAGGCAAAGAGCAATGCCTCAGGCCCACCAAGAACTAAAACCCCGGCTGATTCTACTGACTGCTTCGCTCTCCCTCTCTGCTCCCAGCCACGAAAGGGTTGCTCGGGTTTCCCAAACATGTTATTTGTTCAGCCACAACGAGGCACTGCTACTTGCAGGCTACTAGCTACAGGGCTGACGGAGCTGTTGCTGGACATGAGAGAGGGAGAGAAAAAACAGAGATGCACGCTGGAGGGTGGAAGCCAAATGGGAAGCTCAGAACTTATCTGCTGCTAAAATGGGGGAGGTGAATTTTTTCCCACTTAATCTGAAAATTGGCCTTGGTTTCTTGGACTGTTTCTCGCCTCCTTCTCTCAGCATCATCTGCTGGAAAGAACGTTCAAGAGAAAGTTGGGGAAGGTCTATCACCCCACCCTCACGCCTTCACTTCTTCATTTGTAAGACCAGAGTAATAATATCTGAATCACCTTACACACACAGGCATTCACTCTCAGGAAAAGAAACTCGATAAATTTGACATAATAATAATAACAATTTTTTAAACCAAGGGGAAGTTTCTACTTATGATAAAGCCTTCCTACCAATGTTGATTTTTATGATTTAAATTCACTGAGAACCAATAGATTCAACTTTATTTCCACCCGAAATGTGGAAATTAAAGTGCCACTGTGATGGAAAATGTTCCATGTTCTCCGATGTGTTTGTAGGTGTGTACATGCTTAGGTACACAAACCTCAGATAACTTACATCATACTTTTAGTTCCTTTTGACACATCGCTCAGAGCCCTTTAGAATCTCTAGCTGATTAATCCAATCCTAAAGCCTAAGCTGGATACAAATATTTTTCTC